CTGGAACTTTCCCATTCAATTGATATAAATACACGAATGTACAGCCTAGATGATGACTTCGTCGAAAAGAAAATTTTCTTCGCTGCAACTGTCTTCTTAATAACTACTATAACCCAGTGTATATATTCCATGACCTTTGGTTTCATTGAGTCATAAAAATATTAGGAGACTAAGACTGGATCGTGCATATAAGGATTACTTTATTTGACAAAAATGTTTCATACACATCTTCATATGTATGAAATTATGCCTGGCCAACAGTGGTATAAATTCTCTGGTTTGATTGTTGGCCCATTAAAGTGGCTATATGCACACAGTTACCTGAATCTAGTTCTGAAGCACAAAATCTTCCATCTTATCATGCAGAGACTAAAATGTTGATTTCAATCCTGTTGGCTTTGTGCTAGAGTAGTTTAGTTGTAAATGGTATTAAAATATGGAAGGAGGATTAAGTTTATGCACATCTAGCAAGTTATGTAAACAGGATACATAAAGTCTCAGAATTTCAACTTACTTCGTGTAATGTTAGTAAACGTGTGTGTGAGTGGTTTAATGGTAGAAAGCTTGGCAACCATGGATATGGTCTGGCGGGCTGACACATTCCAAAATCTCGCTTAGCCGGTAGTAAGTCCGGTAATGAGGGAAGGCTGGACAGGGGGCAAGTGACCCCACCAAGAAAACAGCACCGCTTCTGAAACTCCATAACTTGAGCATGAACTCCTATGTTCCATTTGGAAGGCGAAGGAGTGGAAACAAAATATTACTGAATAAATTATCTAAAATGTTCATCTAACTACATTCAAACACGCAATTACTCCAACCAGTGTATATCCCTTTATGAATAGGTGCCAGGAATGTTCATTACGAAATTCAAATGAATCCAATTTGTTATAGTGCTAATTGTTTAAGGCAGTTTCTGTAATTTTTTGACGATACTGTAATCTTAAATTACCTGAAATGGCCTTCGTTCTATTCACATAAATTGTTTTTGGAATTTAAAATTTTGGATATTTAATATCAGTAGTAAAATGCAGTATACCATTAAAAATAAACTGTCTTTGAAGTTATTAGTCCTCCATGCATCGATTCAATAAGCCAATATAAATGATTGAATTGGTTACAGGATTTCATCATAAGCTGATGTCGGTTAGATAAGCATGGGAAAACCTGGATGTACTGGAAATCTCTTTCGTCTTAGTTTGGGATACTCCGTCGGCATGAACGATCTCATCTTGTAACCGGAAGGTCCTGGGTTCGAACCCTGGTGAGTACATACTGATGAAGTGTTCCAAACTAGGATGAAACAGCTGTTCAGTACTCCCAGGTTATCCAATGGTTCTCTGACCGATGTCAGCTCAAATGAAATCCTGTTAGCGATCTAATCAAATCCCTGCAAACCAATACCTGATTATCAGGATAAAGTTAGCCAGTTGGGTGAAATATAAGCATGGAAAATAACAAAAATGAATAAATAGCTAGTGTTGTTTCCTATCTCTGAAGAAAACAAAAGCTTTACGGCCAAATATGCAAACTATAATAAGTAATTAACATGAGACTATTGTCTTGTTTTCATTTGTAAACGTTCATTTATTTGCTTAAATATTTAATTTCATGATTAACATGACTTTTATAGACTCATGAGTAAAATTATTTCCCGTTCTGATATACAGTTAAGTCAGTTGCTTGTAATTTAGAAGCTTCATTTCATCTAAGTCCTTCATCAGATAGTTTATTCATGAACTTAGAGGGTTAGGCTTTCCTGGTTGTGAAATGGTTGACAAAAATATACCACAGAATATTGCAGTTATCCTCTGTATACAATAACAACAATAATTATAGATAACTAGTCCGTGAAAAGTAACGAATACTCTGTTGTCTAGTCTTCACTCCTTATACTTTTCTGACAGATAAGTTTGCTGTTTGTACATTAGTTTAGCAAAATTGTCATCACAGTGTGCCATGTTTGAAGTTAAGTAGAAGGGAGTCCTAGTTAAGGTTTCTGTTCACTTGGAATTCATAGACCATCTCTAACATCATGTTTACAGGTATTGGTTGATTGTAATTAATATAGTTTATTTCAAACTGACAAAAAACAGAATATACTTAGATTAATGCTAATTTATTCATTTTCGGAGAGCATAGGGTTTTCGCCCTAGTAGAATGAACGCAGATTTAAATACAGTCAAACATGTTCAAATAAATCACTGACAAGAAGAAGAGATTTATAAATTAATGATTCTTAGTCGGTAAAAAATACACTTAACTCATAGAAAAATAGAAATATAGCTTACTATAAGTAGTTTAAATAATTCTGCTTTAAGTTATCAGTCATCCGAAATTGCATGAATTTTGTACTAATAGTAATTGTAGTTTTTTATTCGCAGTGTTACAAGGTTTTATATATAGATGCGCTATTCCTACGCCTTTTGGGAGATCAGGGAAATTCATGAAACTGGGGAAACGTGCAATCACTCATTTTGTTTGTTCACCTTGTTTATCTCAACTTTCAGAATTCGATGGATTCGTGTTGGATGAGACCTTCGACTGCTGGTTGTATTGCGCTGTGGTGATGTTTAACCAGTCTTTCCCGAAAAATGCATTCTTACGAAGGCACATGTATTCAGTTCTCCATTCTTTAACTGACCAGTGTTAGGAGCCGGCCTTCTCATCAAGCTAGGATAGGTTAGGTTAAATATCTATCCGATGCCTTCGTCTAGACATAGCATTACCGGAGAAATTGATCACATGAATGCAGTCATGAGCGTTATTCCTAGGTGGAGCCTTTCAGCGAATCAGCTCGCAGGAAAGTGGTTGCAGTCTTAGGGTCTCACGGTGGGAAACTGTCTTATGCACGGCTGTCACGATAAGTTTTGAAATTTCTATATGCAAAGTTCACAAAAACAGATTTGCATGTTGGCTTATAAATTATATATATATATATATATATATATATATATAATGGCTAATCCTATAGATGAAGTCACGTTAGGAAGGATTGGAATTTGAGCTTAAGTTAGTTTTGCCGTATTCTGTAATTCTCATGATATCTCGACACATTATTTCATTCACTGAAGGCAGTAAACAGGAATATTTTCCTACTCTGTCTCATTATCTGAAGAGAAACATCTTACCGAAGCGGATAAATACCTAATGTTATACCGCCTCTCCTTTGTGTTTATTGTGATTGGCGGAAAACATTTGCCTAGAACTCATTCCTGTTAGAGATGATTATTAAATATACTCTCTTTCATTCTATTATTTCTTTCCTTCACGTTCCCCAGTGGAACATAGGGCTTCAAGCAAGGGGCTTGAAGTTTCTGTAGCAGCGTTTATTTTACAGGATGGGGATGCTAGCCTCATTCCCAACCTTTCCTCTTTACCAGAATTATTTCTGGCTTAGCGAGGTAAAGGAGTGCGTTGGCCGGGGATCGAACCTCGGATCATGTGCATGGTTGGCGAGCGTCCTAACAGCTTTGCCACAAACGTCCCTTTCATCTTAGCTGATATAAAACTTCAGTTTATTAAATGTATTTGTAATCTTCGCAGTCACTTTTACTGAAATTTACAAATTCTGTTTTTTAAAATTATTTTATTCCTTTACGTTCCCAGTGGAACATACGGTTTTAAGCTAGAGCTTTGAAGTTGCGGGAGTGGTGGGTTTTTTATTTACGGGATAGGGTTGCTAGTCTTATGCCCAACCTTCCCTCTTCACTGGCCTTACTACCAGTTTAGCAAGTTTTAGGAGTACGTCGTCGGGGGGGGGTTGAACCCCGGACAGTATGGGTGGTTGACGAGCGACCTGCTGTTGAACCACCGACCCACTCATAAATTCTTTATGTGTACAATATTCAACCAAGTGGACAGCTGAACTTGCCGGATTGTTGGAACCTTTGGCTGCCAACCTACCGGGCTTCCATTAAATATATTTTGTTTTAATCACTTAAAATTATCTTCAGATTGCACCATTTTTACAGAAACATTTTGGTCAGCATATGAATCTGTTGCTATTTACATGCTTTATAATCTCGGTGGATGTCAATGAACAGTGAAGCATGTAAATGCGTATTAAATGTGGAGCTAGTCATATTGGCCGAACAAAGCGCACGCTTTCCAAACGCATCTCTGAATATTATCCGGCATGGGACAATATCATAAGACAATTAGTAGTTCAATTCTCGAGCATCTGGTTAAGTCAGGCTGCGTAGCTCCACTAGAGTCGTCTTTCAAGATCATCTACAAAGTGAAACCAAATGGTACAAAGGGCGTTAGGTTTCGGCTTTTGTGTATGGCGGAGGCGCTGACAATTCATTAATACAACCCTGAACTCTCTATACAGAAAAAGTTTGTCCAGCCTCTTATTCTACCTTGGTCTTAGCCTCTTCACTAATCGTTCTCTGTAAATAAAAAAATTTTTGATTTTTTCTTTTGCTTTTAATTTTTAATTTTACTTTTAGTTTGCTTTTCACCATTATCATTCTCATATGCTCCTTTTGTATATTTTCACACCCCATTCACACTTGTTAAATTGACACTCAAATACCTTTATTCTCATTCAAGAGCAATTTTAACCTTATCAAACTTCTATCTTTGTTCCGTTGAGTACCACGTAATTTACAACTTTTAATTTTCACTTCTAAAGCCATTTATGATTAATTATATCAATTGTGTCAACCCCTATCACTCAATAATGGACCACTATACCATTTTATAAGTATAAATACGACTGTACACCCTCTGAAGATGATTTCGTCGATAAAGAAAATTTTCTTCACTCAATCTGTCTTTTATTTTCTTCATGCCTCAATGAGTGTTTTCGGTGATTCACATGTCTATCTCTGAATTAATTATCACGAACAGCAAATTTCGTGGTGACTTTCGCTTGATTTGTAACACTATAAAAATGCCTACATTGTCAATCTGTATAAACTGATTTCTAGCAGTGGACTCATTATTTATCATTGTAACTATAATAAAAACATTTCAGATAAAAAAAATTCACTTTTATTTACAAAAAGTATTTACTTGAATGAATGAAGTAAAATATCACACAGTTTTCAATTCACAGTTTGAATTTTTCAGTACAGAATCGAATTCATAGTCATAACAGTCACTACCTGGATTATTGTTATCAGTGTTAGCACATTTATTTCTTATATATTCTTCAAATCTTATATCCAGCGATAGTAATTCGTCATCATCGTCATCAAAGTGGTCGTCAATATCATCATCATCATCATTGTTGGCACCGTCAATACCGTCAATATTTCTCATTCTGTTACAGTTACATCTTTGATTATATTCCACTTCAGATGATACAGTGGGATGGAATTTGTTATGTGTTTTATTACCATCTCTACTGTAACGTGAACTATTCTGAGGCGTGTATTTATTGAATAATACAACAGCTTCATTATTTAAATTGAAGTTGTTAGTGCTGCTAGTCTGACTTTGAGTAGTATGACCCATGAATTGTCTTGTTTTTCTATAATTCCATCTAGTCATATAATCAGACAATGAAGGAATTCTATGTCCAGAGAATGGAGCTGGTAAATATGGTGATGTATATTTATTTGTATTAGTTAATGGAATGAATTTTAATGAATTGTTTACATTTTCATCTAATGGTTTCGGACCAAATACTTTGTGAATTTTACAATGTAATTTAGCTTTGTGTGCATAAATAAATATTCGTAATGGGAATGAGCATAATAAAAGCGTTGCTATTATATAGGTTATGCCTTTCAAATAAATTGGTGGCTTTGATGATTTGTGCATTATGAGCATTTGTTCTGGGAATTTCACTGTATCCGAAAAAGTACATACTAAAAATGAAATTAAAAAATATTGATGTATATATATTATATACATGTATCTTTATAGAGATGATTATATGTGACATATATTCATAAGTTTATCAAGTTTCTTCCTAAAAATTAGCAGATACAGAGTGATAATTGTGACTGGAAAGTGTTCATTTTAGTTGTTATTTTGTGTTTAATGTTAATTGTTTATAATGGGCAGAAATACTCGGACCCTGCTAACATATTGGCTCCTAGCACAGGTGTTTTGATGATGTTCAAGGATTAAAATGATGGTGCTTCTTTAAGGTTGGTTAGCAGCAGAGTCTTGCATACTCAGCGATGGTAGCTTCATTTATGCAATAAATGCAATTTAGGCAGTCTGGCATAAAGCAGTCTTTGCTTTCTCAGTTTGTCAATTCTTGTATTCTACCCATCCCCCTTTACTGCTCCCCATTAATCTTTCCTGGACTACTTAAGAAAGACTTTGATTGGCTGAGAGGGGCACTAAAAGCCGTTAGTAAGGCAAGTGGGATATCGTTAAACCAACTGGTTAACACTATTGTGGATAGACATATAATGTCATGTAAGAAACTAGAGAATACAATATTGTCAGACGCCGAGCATCCTCTCTATACGCAGCTCTCTCCTTGCATTTCATCTGGTAGAACTAGAAGCAGCTATAGGGGGCTATATGCTAGGACTACTAAGTACAAAACTCCACAAAACCATATCTGGTACAGCTGTTATGTGATGAGAAATCCGCTAGGTATGACACGATCAACTTACTGCGGCACTCTAACAAATAGTCCCATTAGTTTTTGTTTTCCTTTCCTCGTTACTATTACACTGTTGTTCACATCTTCTATTACACACTAATTTTATATTTCATAACCTGTGGTGCATTGTTTAAAATGTAAACGCAACGCTGTTTCTTTTTCTTTTTTTGGTTGTTGATTTTTGATTTTAAAATCTTATCAAATTTATGAGGTACTTAGATGAAATATTGTAATGCACGCTGAAAATTCCATACCTGTACCATAAATACTGTTTGGTGTAAAGCTGTTATTATTATTATTAATAGTCTACATATCTGAGTTAATTTGTGTTTATAATATCATCTTGTAATACTTATATTTCGTTTAATAGTTGTTTCTGAAGTTCTGTAAGAATCAGTCCCATTAGTTTATTCTAGTTATTAAACGTTTACCACAGCGTAAAGGTCATGTAGCAAATAAACTATTAAATTATGTGGATCAGTGATATGTGGTCGCATATAATGTTTATTTATTACAAAAATGGCAACAATAAATAAAGCACAAATCAAATTTTTCGTTCTCTTTGGATTATTCAAATATCTAGACATTAAAAGTTTCTAAAAGATTAGATTCAACGCGTCAAGTTATGTAATGCCTTTTTAACAGATTTATGAAGATATAAATCTCTGAAAGATTAAAGTTATTGTTAGAACAGAGACTCCACACAACATATCGTTGCTTCCCTATAAATGCATATGTAATTTACAAACAGTGATATTTTCTCAACCAAAAATAGGAAAGTTTCACTTCTGGTCACTATTTTATTGCATATTTCCTGCGCTTAAATAAATCAATTGACGATTTTTATAGTCGCTTTCATGCAGCATGACGATTTAATCAGTAGACGTCTTTACTTCTTTTTATCCAGCTCTAAAAAGGGTTAGGGTTAAAAACCTTCTGAAGATTTATTTCCATTAACATTGGCAATAATTAATTCCGCCTCATTGGAGTTTAATATAGGAGATATATAGAGGTAATGCTGAAAAAAGACTCCTTTAGCTAACATATATATAAATATAAATTTGTTTGTCATACCACGAGCTAAAATGTTTCTATCGAATCAAATAAAAACCGGGTAGGCATATGCACAGTTTAACGTAGTCTAAGCTCAGCTTTTACCTATGGAATCTGAGAATACAACTATTTATTTTAGACTGTGACATCATATCCAGTCTTCTGTCTGTGCTATCTACCTATAAAAAAATAATGACTGATGATTCATGATTAGGTATCGATTTTAAGAGTACCACGATAACAGGTCGTATTAATTTATCATAGTGAAAATTTGTTCCTAAAATGATTTATTACTACAAAATGTATCATTGTATTAATCCCTTGGGTTCCAAGTGGACCATAGGGCTTCGACGACAGATTTCCGCTTTGCTCTGTTTTCTGCTCTCCCTTTCGGGTGGGTAAACGATTGCCCACAATTTCTCATCTCCTCCAACTCGTACGATCTTCTCCATGCCACCTTAGGACAACCCATTCATCGTTTTCCATCGGTGTTCACTCGAGAGATGGTGAGCGATGTCACTCGCTTAGTTTATTAGTTCGCTGGTTTTCTGTTAATATATTATTTATTATTATGTCCTTTAGTTCCTAGAGGAACATAGGGCTTCAGCTGCGTACCCCCATTTCCCTCTGTTTTCTGCCAACTTTTTCACTCCGCTCCAAGTCTGCCCACATGCTTCCATCTCCTCTTCACATGACCTCCTTCAAGTCACCCCACCACCGGACGACCGACTCACCGCTTCCCAACCGGGTTCCACTCGAGCGATGGCTTGTCTAATGATGTCACTTGATGGTTTCCTCAGAGTGTAGCCAAGCCAATCCATCTCCATTTCTTCCTGCCTATTTGTTTCACAATCGGTTCCTGCTGGGTTGGTTCGCTCATTGCCAGAGATCTTTGTTGCTGATCTCTTCTGTTCGGCCATCTGATCTTGAGTATTGAGCGAAGACAACTGTCAATGAAGGCCTGTAGTTTGTTTGAGATGCTCTTTATGACTCGCCAAACCTCTGATCCATATAGAAGCACTGACTTTACATTGGAGTTGAAAATCCGGATGTTATTTTTGATGTTGAGTGATGTTGACTTCCACACAGACTTAAAAGTAATGAAAGCCTGTCTTTCTTTTCCGATTCTGGCTTTGATATCCTCGTCAGTTCCGTTCGCCTGTAGTTGAAACTTTGCTTCTCTGGTAGGTAGGTAAAGGAGGTTGTTTCTTTCAGGTTCCTCCGATTTATACTGGCTGATTGTTGTCTGTTGTTGTAGGTGTTGCTGCTGTTGTTGGCCAGGAATCTTCATCACCTCTGTTTTATCTATGTTCACCTGAAGTCCTACCTTCTCCGGATGCTTCTTCTTCCAGCTTGTAGCTGTCCACTCACATATCTTTCAGTTTGTGGGAAATCAGACATATATCATCGGGGAAGTCCATATCCTCCAAGTATTTTGAGTGAGTCCATTTTATGCCTGTTTCCTCATTGCCCGTTGTCTGTCGCATTATCCAATCTACTGCAATCAGGAAAATCATTGGTGATAGTAGACAGCCTTGCCTAGCTGGTCCCAAGTCTGGGTTAAGAGGGAGGTTGGGTGGGAGGCTAGTGACCCTATCCTGCAAAATCGTTGAAACTCCTACAGAAACTTCAACGCACTACAAAAACCAATAAAATGAAATCTGAATAAGCATAACATGTAATAAAGTAAACATAAATGACCTCCACTAATGATAAATTTCATAATACGGATTATTTGTCTATTCTACTTAAATATAGAGTCAAGCAAAAATGACGAATGAGTATGGGTAACGCATTTTAGTCTTTATTCGCTTTTTATTTTATTTGATACAATTAACTCTATTAACTGCAATTATCGTTTTTCATGATTATGGAAGGATTCAGTTAGACAGCGCAAAAGTTAGAACATATTCACAGAGACTTCTAAAGGATCTAATACCAACTAGAAAACAATCAAATATGAGGATTTCTTGGTCGGTTGTTTAATTCTAATATACGACGAAAAATGTAAATCATGATGTGAATGAACAAAAGAAGGAAGTAAATCATTTACAGGATAAAACAAGCTTATTTTGATTCATGGCTTTTTCGCGGCTACCAAAAATTTGGATTTAGTAGATTTATTATAAATAAGTATAAATATAAACAATATACTTTAACAAAATAAGTATCCAGACCGTAGATGTTACGGATTTCCTAGGATAATTTGCGCACTGAATCAAACTGAATCACTTTAAATTACTCATAATAATCCTAGAGTGTTTAAGGAAGAGTTTTGTTTTGGTTTTTTCCTAAGCATGCTGGGATTATTTTAAGTAATTTATAATACTTTAACGCTGTTTGAATCAGAAGTTCATCAATTTTCACTCCGATATTGGTGTGTTTCCCCCCTCTGGTCCTGCTTTCTTTCTATCTACAGACCACACCGGATTGTAACCAGTGGACTGGAAAAGATTCTGTAAACTTAAATAACAACAGTTTCTCCAGTAAATTTTCCTGAAATTATGCCTAATTTTCGTTTTATGAGATAACTTTAGTGAGACTTTCGATGTACTTGGTTTGCATTAATTACGAAAACTAGTAAATTTATTTGTTTAAAGATATCTATTGTATGTGAAATATCATCTACAAGTCACCAGTTTATTTAGTAAATTTTTGGGATAGTTTTGTGTTTCAGCGTAAAGAAAATTACACTGCGTCAGGGAGTTCAACCAAATTTTGCACAGTCTTCCGTTATAGAAACGACCAGTTAGGGCCTATAAAGTTTTTTCTGGCAGCGTATATAACCACGATATTTCAAATGTAAACCAGTTGTCTTCAAAATCTCACTCAAATTTTGCTGATAAGGGTTCATAAATCTAGAAGTCAGGTTTATCCCATTGAGAAGGAATAGTGTTGTGGCATGTACAACTGAAAACTAAGTGACGCATGCATTATTATAATTATAATTGTTCCCTTGGGTTCCTAGTGGAACATAGGGCTTCAACTGCACGTCTCCACTTGCTTCTGTCTTCTGCTGTACTTTTCACCTGCATCCATGTTAGTCCATACTGTTTCAACTCCTCTTCACACGATCTCCTCCATGTCACCCTTGCACTGACGTTACACTCGCCGCTTCCCTTTCGGTCTGGTTCCACTCGAGCAATGGCCTGACGCGCGATGTCATCCATCGGCCTCCTCAGCGAGCGAGTGTCCAATCCATCTTCACTCTCTCCTGCATATTTGTTGGTTGCTTCTTGTTTTGTTTGTTCCCAGCCATAGTTTCCTGTTGGTGGTGATTCTTTCCGGCCATCTGATCCTCAGTATAGATCCAGCGAAAACAGTTGTTGATAAAGGTCCGCAACAGGCTGTTGGAAATATTCTTTGTGACCCACCCGCCAAGTTTCTGATCCGTATAGAAGAACTGACTGACATGACGTCATTTGTATTGAAAATCCGACCGAGTTTTGTTGTTGATGCTGGCTGAGTGACGAAGATTTCCAGATTGGTTTCAGTTGGTTGATGATTGTGTTTCTCGCCTTCCCGATTCTCGCTCGATTTGACATCCTCGTCCGTTTCGACTGCCTGTAGTTGAGACAATGCTCCCTAGATAGGTGAATGAAGTAATCTCTTTCAAATCCCTCCCGTTAATGGTGATTGGCACTGGATGTTGCTGCTGTTGTTGTTGTTGTTGGTTGGTTGGTTATTTTCATAACCTCCGTCTTGTCTATGTTCACCTGAAGTCCTCGTCTAGATTACTAGCTCGCTAGTTTTCTAGCCGGTCCCAAGCCCGTATAAATGGGGAGGGTCGGGGGGTGGTGCTAGCAACTCCACCCCCAAAACTTAACCAAATCGCTACAGAAATTTCAACGCCCAAATATATTTTGTGATGCATGTAGTTTGAATTATTTCGAAACAATTGGTCTGAATAACTACGTTTGCTATTCAAGCAGAAATCTTTGCCTACGTTATAAATAAGTTCACTAAGAGTTAAATAAGGGGGGATTTTCAACCATTTATACACTACTGATAGAAATGAGTACTTGAAAGTTAACCATGCCAATAAAAAATGTTCTCCGACTAGACGAGCATTTCCACGTCAACTAAAAACATGTCAGTTGAAACTGATTTGGTTACCTCATCATTTTCAATTCAGCATGCCGTCAGTGGGTTGTGTTAGAAAAAAACAGTTTAAAGCTATGAACTAATTCTCAGGCGAACCACTGCATTAATAAGCTTTTAAGGTCTCCGGCATAACTAACTAATATAGGCGATATGGGCACTTGGTCGTATCCAAACAATGCGTCTGTTATCTGGATAAAAGGCCCTAGAACATCGTCAATTTTTTGAACTGTTGCAAATGTGAAATATAACTGCGTCATTGTTGCAGCAAAAGAATACTCGCCGACTATACATGTGATATGGGGCTCGATATCCTGCTAATAAACTTCTAAATCTCGCTTAGCCAATAGTAAGCGCGTTAAATTTGCAAGTGTTCCCATGAAGCTCTCGACTCCATCCCGTAAAAACTCAAGCATCAAAAACCCTATGTTCCCCTGGCAACCTAAAAGAATAAAATAAATAAATAATACGTATTATTGGGATTCTGTAAGTGCTGATTATATATTCACTGAAAGGATAATCACATTTTAATGGAAGGAAAGCAGATTTGTTCTAATTTAGATATTTGAATACTAAATTACTTTCCAGCTGTGCTTAGACAATCTATATATTGTAGATATTTAATATTCAACGACTGGATAACATTAAGTTAATTTGTAAAAATGTAGAAGCTTACTTTGTTCTGTTTCCATGTAAATATCAAATTTTTCATATGTTGTAAAGAAATCCTGTTTTTGTCTTTGAAATTCTAAAAAGGTTTGTTTATCAGAAAAACTGAATAATGTAGTCAGATTTAACTCAATCAATTGGAAATTTTCTAATTTACTAATATAATCAGACATATCCCAGACAGAGTCGATTTTCGACACATCAAATGAACACATTTTATTCATACTTATTATACGTTTGCATTTTATCTGATGAATATCTGATTCACAGTATGGAGAAAATGTTTCATCAGTTTTTGCAAACTCTATTGTAGACTGATCAGTTTGTTTATTTAAATTATTTAAGGTATTATCATAATTACCTTGAACAAATGAATGTTTATCTGAATTATTTGAATTGATTTCATTTGAAATAACACACTGTTGTTCTTTTTCTCTTTGATTACTTTGAAATTGACGATGTTGTTCTGTTGTTGTATTATGAGCATAATGATAACATTTAATTTGCCAAAATATAGATGGAATTAATTTGTGTGCATATTGTACTAAATTATATGCCATATTTGTATCAACTAACCATGTAGTTCGAATCCAATTTCTTGATTGCCATGATTCAATTAAATAAATTAAATAAATTAAGAATATTAAACCACTGATAATTAACAATGAGCTTGTCTGACAAAAATACAAGGTATTCTCTGCATTATTATTACTATTATGATAGGAATGATGATATTTTGGGTATGAGTTAGATGAATGTATAAAAGTGATGATTCGTTGAATACCGCATGATGATATTATGCTGATACCTGTTAATATAATAATAGTAAGACATGCACATCTCCATTCAGCTAATGCATAATGCATACATTCTCTGTAAGTACGTTGTACAGGAACCTGCTTTTAATTTAACAAAGAAGAAAAGACTATTGATAATAGATAAACACGTTAAGTGATATTCAAAATATCAGTGAAATATACAACTGGGATTTATTTAGTTTATACGCGTAATTAATAGTCTATGAATGAATAATTCATATTGGTTTATCAATGAAACGTGCTGACAGATTGCACTAAGATAGCTGTTAGTCATTTAACTTAATGACCATATTGTTAAACTGTAGTGATAATATTCAGTTAGCACCAAGGCTGAGGACTAGACATATGTCAATGGTTAGTTCTCCTACACCATCTGTGACTAATCAGTGCATGCTGATACATCTTTTAAGTGAATCATTCTGAGAAACTTTAGTTTGCAAAGCTAGAACTATTTCCCAGGTAATAATTATAAGTCATTTCATTGTTATTACACATTATTAGTTGAAAAAGAAATATTTTAGAAAACTGAGCAGATCACCCACAAAATTTATATTACATACAACCGGTTCACTTTATTAGTTAGAACAAAGAAAGAACGAATACATTTGCGGGATAAAATGAGCTCGTTTTATTTTGTGGATTCTCTTCAACTGCATACATCCTATACATTATCATGATGGAATCCCGTAACCAATCAATCAAATCCTTACAAACTATTACCTGAATATCGATGAGATGCTTACTAATGAGTAGTCCTATTCAGGTAGGTAGTTACCTGGGGTTAAAGTGAGACGTCGTAACCAGTAGGGAACAGCAGGTCGGAAGTGAGGAAAAATACTCGACGAAGACATTGGCTAGTGTTCTCGTTATGTCGTGAATTGGCGGAATTTGGAATTCATGGGCTGGCCAATGAATCGAGTCCCAGTGGCTTAATGGTATACCAGCTCACCTTGTAACCTGAAGGTCCTGGGTTCAAACCCTGACGGTGGATGAGTACTGCGACGAGTCCCAAACTAGTGCGAAACAGCTGTTCAGTACTCCCAGGTTTACCAAAGGTTCTCTAGCCAATGTCAGCTCATGATGAAAACCTTTAACCAATCAATCAAACCTCTACAAACCATTAATTGAATATCAAAATGTAAGTTTCAAAATTTCCAAACATGTTTTTGTCACAGTGACTTTGAGTTACAGATAGGAAGTATAAGCAATAGAATTCCGAAAAGAAGTAAGTAAACAAACCGGTCAGTGTTAAAACCTTAATTATTTATAGTTCAATTAGACGAGAACAGGGTAGAGTTCAGATTATTCTCCGAAACAGTGGCTGACTGGAGACAAAATGCAAGATAGAACAATGAAGTTAATTTATGCAAATTATGATGGAGAGTTAAAGAGAATGGGAGTGATTACTGAAGTATTATTATGATATAGACAAATGGTTAAGCAAATATGGAAACTTAATGGTGAGTTGAACTAAGTAAATAAAAATTGAAATATTACGCATCAGAACAAAATACAAAAGCACACGAACAAACAGTTACAGTTACCAGGGCAGTGGGTGATTAGTCAATCTTTTAATATAAAGAGTTTAGGCGGAAGTTTTTTGATGGCAGTGGCTTCTGAGAATAGAATTAACCGAGGTTTTCTTTGTGTATTGAGTATTTTGAAAGCCTGACTAATTTCCACTGTATGTATCATATCAGTTAGGTGTCTGGCTATTGGACCTATAAACACTTTGCTGTCTTGCACACGGAGATTGTTTAGGGTTATACTCGGAGACTCTAGTAGATGCTCTTTTCTCAATCCTTCCTATGTACAGGTCAATTTGTAAATGAAGTTAGAGTTGTCATGAGCAAGATGCTTATCTGCTTTTGAATGAGTTAACTAGCATACGGTTTTGTAAAGTGGAATAACCTTGTGGAGGGAAATTTCCTCTTCAGTGCACCCATGATTTAATTTTTGGTTCTTGTGGATAATTCGTCCCCTTCGGACACCGGACAGATTAACTGGTTTCTTTTCAGCTGTTTCGGGTTTCGGCCTTGGTATATTTCGACTTCCAGTTTTTAACATTAACTTTCCGGAATACACTTTTTCGATAAAGCCCTTTTCGATAACTGAGAATTGCTCTTCAAACTTATTTTCTGAACATAACACCCTGGCTATGCTAAAAAGCGTTTTGACCAGTCCCGTTTTCTGGTCGACTGGGAAAAAAGATGTGTACTGTTTGCTCTGTTTATGAAAATCAGATTGATCCTATTTTCACGATTGATTACCAACTAACTTCAATCATAAAACTACTGGAAACGAGATAGTCCTGGACAACTATTTCTCCCTTGTTTGAGACTTCTCAGCAGTTTGCCTTCATGATCTCACTAGGGATCAAACCCAGGACCTTCAGGCTGCAAGCTTGTAGACCATCAAGCATCTGGGACGGAATCCAATAGCCCATCAATCCTGGCTTCTGAGAATCCTGTTTCATCACTGTCTAGATAGCATTTGCCAACGTACTAGTTATACGCTTCTTCAAGAACCATTCAGTCTGTTTCCGGCAAAGTTAAACTTTGTGCACCACTAACTACCAATCAGCAAATGACCTCAAACTCACCAATCACGTGAAGGAATCAATATATTCACCAAAAAATTGCATAAAACTCTATAAAAGTGTTAGAGAGAATACCTCGTTCTCACATGTGATAAAAGTAGCTCTCAATTTTAGGTTGCAATGTCAATAGAGTGTAATTCCATTGTGGGTAAAATTTATTTTGATAAAGTCTCAGAGTGTAATACAGTAGTATTTACTGATCAATAAATTGTGCTCGAAACGTCATCAATAAATATCACTGTATAAAAATGTGAGACTTTATCAAGATAAATTTTACCCGCAACGGAATTATACTCTGGCACAGTACACAAGTTCTATTCTTATATCAAGAGAGTAATTTAACCATATTCTATGCATATAATTATTCAGGTCTTCTTATCCTAACAATAAACCTAATGTTTCCTAAACTTAACCCTAACGTGAAAATATCCCTAAACTATTGCAATCTAACTCGAACCAACCCTATAGTCGCCTTTATTAGGTTAAATTAACCCTAACTTTTCCTTGGCTTAAACCGTAACTTAATCTTTCCCAGCATGCCAGATACCGCATTTACTAGCATAACACTTCGATAAGCATATTTTCTTGATGTTGGAAAATTAATTGCCAGGTTTCACTAACTTACTCAGCGAGGGTTTCAGGGTCACTGTTGCGGCCTCACTCCATTGTTAGTAAGTGGTGCTTAAAGTTTAACTTGGTTCTGTTTCGTATTATAATCTCAAAACAAGATTTCCTTCCTGCCATTCCACCTTGCAACTTGTCTAAGTTCACTTTGAAATAACATAATGGTTTTTCAATGTAAAATGATTTGTGCTTTATATTAACTATTGTGTGATTTGATAATATCTAAAGCCCAATAAAACCGAAGTGGATGATAATGAAAAAGTATGTAGTCAGTTGCGTTCAGTTTTAAATACAAAACGAGAATCTTAAGTTAAGTGCAGATTATGGTTATGTTATCAATGTTACAGCCAACAATTATCAAGCGAAAACAGCATTTAATGCACAAATCTTTCCTAACACAGGTAAGACTGAATTTTCTTCGAGAATAGAATGTGGGTACTGTGGTAGGTTTTTAACTTATAACACGATAGTTTTATTTGATATGACACATTAATGTGCTGGGGTTGTTAAGTTTATAAGTAATAAAAATTTCTCTATTCCATACTCTGTTCTATTCTAAAAACTACAACACTTTCAAGCAAAAGAACTTATAACTAATAACGTACTTAAAAAATGACACATTGAAAGAAAAACAAGTCTATGACTTTCAGTTAAAAGTCCCAACCATATAGAATATTTGTACGTGATACTGTGTCAGTTAAGTTTTTAAGTACAAGGGTTTCATTTTATTTACCGCCGAAATAATACACAGTGATAGCCCTTCTATGATGTTATTTTGGTTTAATGTGACTAAAAGGGGTATCCAGGATGGACATTTGGGACGTGACAGTTGAATGCTCCTGCGTTAACATTGAGTGATGGTAAGAACACTGTTAGGCATCGTCGAAGCCTCAATTCTAGAATCTGAAATGTCAACAGACAATAAAATATATCTGTTCAACATATTCAAACAATCGGATACGAAAATTAACGTAAAAACAAATGATAACTACCAATTTAATCTGAATAAAGTCTGTGTTCTAAGGCTTAACTTTCTTTTTGCTTTAATTGTGAAGTGATTTGAGATGCATAACTCACAAGTTGCCTTCATTTTAGAGTATGTGTACCTGCTTATTCTAGTTCTGAGTAGTTGCCAGTGCTTAATATCATAGCAAGAATGAGAAGTATTTAAACTCTATCAAATTTCGATATGTCCAATTTTAAATGCCCAGTAAGTTAATTAAGGGCAAATATTTGAAGGCTTTCAAAGATTGATGACATCGAGTTATATAAATGCAACAATTTATAAATATTTACTTCATATAAATAAGGTGACAGAAAAAGCAATAATTTTAAAAGCTTTTTCTAAAGTCATAAGTAATAATTCATGAATTCAATATTAGCAATTTTATTTTCTGAACTGAAAGAATTGTTACCCTTTTTCATTTCTAATCCACCGTCATAGTAAAAAGCTAATTTTTAACACATAATAGAATCTGAGGAAAATTATGAGTGGGCTGATAACTAGAAGAATCAGATAGCCTAACTGATGTACTGATAAATGTTTTAAACGACTACAATTTTTACCTACTGTTGTGTTAGCCTACTGTTTCATGATAAATGTTTAGTAACTTAATCAAACTTCCCTTTATTCAACTTTTCGTAAATTGTGACTCATGGCTAAACACCACTGCAGAATGACTTTAATCATTTATTTATGCTTAAATCAAAGTGGATTATACAGGTGGAAAAATAATTTTTAGCCATGTTTCTTACCTTAGTAAATAACATGAATAACTGTGAATATGCAGACCTTGTGAAAGTATTTTGATTAAATACATTTGGTACTTAATCAACCGATGACAAATTATTTACTTTT